TCATTTAAGGTGTGTTTTGTTCTCCTATTAAAAACAAATAATAAAAAAAACCTTACTTTTATTAAAAAGCCTAGTACTGTATTGGAAAGCAGTAAGAAATTTTATTTGGGAAGATGGTAGCTGCAAAAAGTAAATTTTCTCTAGGCTTGATTTGCAATACCATAGAATCCTTAGAGTAGGAAGGGACCTTTAAAGGTCATCTAGACTTGAGCAAAGCTTTTGACACTGTCTCCCACACTATTCTCTTGGAGAAGCTGGCAGCCTGTGGCTTGCAGAGATGCACTCCTTGCTGGGTAAAGAACTGGCTGGATGACTGAGCCAAAAGAGTGATGGTGAATGGAGTTAAATCCAGCTGGTGATTGGTCACAAGTGGTGTTACCCAGGCATTGGTATTGGGGTCTGTCTTGTTCAATATGTTTATTGATGATCTGGATGAAGGCATTGAGCGCACCCTCAATAAGTTTGCAGATGACATCAAGTTGGCAGGGAGTGTCAGTTTGCCTGGGGGTAGGAGCCAGCAGTGTGTTCAGGTGGCCGACAAGGCCAATGGCTTCCTGGCTTGTATGAGAAATAGTGTTGCCAGCAGGAACAGGGAAGTGATCCTCTACTCAGCCCTAGTGAGGCCACACCTTGAGTACTGTGTTCAGTTCTGGACCCATCACTACAAGAAAGACATTGAGTCCTTGGAGCTTGTTCAGAGAAGGGCAATGAAGCTGGTGGGGGGTTTGGAGTATTTATGGGGAGCAGCTGAGGGAGCCTACTCATTTAAGAAACAAAACATAGAATTCCTCAATTGACTTTTTCACAGTGTAGATGAGAGAGGAACTGATACATACAGTCTGGAGATAACTAGTTGGATCCATTTGGGTATTCATCACTTCGCTGTTAACTGCTCCACACTGGGATTTCAATGTTTCCTCATTCCAGTGGGTCATGCTTTTATATGTAGAATGAGGTGGTTCTCCTGCCAATCTCAGGCATTGTGAGCCTCAGTGCTTAAAAAGCCTGTGAAGGCTTGCTGGAAACATCTATATAAAACAGTGGTAAAATGAGGGAGACTTTAAATGCTGCTTTCTGCAGACTTTATTTTCTAGTGATTCTTAGTGTCTGCCCATTCCTTTTCTTCTTAAAAAAAAAAAAAAAAAAAAAAAAAGTGCTACAGTTACTCTGATAGCTTGTGTCCTATCTCTGAATTTCAGCTGAACTGTGGAACTGAACATTTCCTCATGCTATTTTCTTCTTTTGTCCGTATCCAGAGGTGAAGAGGGTGTTCATTTCCAGTGCTTTAGCATATTTATAGTGCTAGTGAGATATTTTCTTAAATGCAAAGGTGTAATGTGTTGATTTGAGGGCTGGGGTCAGGAAGAGGGCAGGCATAGCTGAAGTCCTAGGAAAAGAAGAGGCCCTGACTAATTCTGCAAGATGCTGTATTAGCACCTTCTCACTTGTGTAGGCCTCTGTATGTATTTTCGTCTGTCAGTAAATTAGGAATTCCTTGCGGTAGGGAAGCTATGTCCATCTATCTGTTTATACAAGCATTCTTGATAATATTTTAACACTCAGCCATTGAAATGCTGCCTGATCCCATCTCTCCCATTTTGGAGTGGAGCTGAGGAGCCTTGCAAGGAAGCACATCTTGTTCTCAAGGTGGTGCAGCAGCTGCACTTTGTATTCTACCTCCCAGAGCTCGTGCTAGGTGGTCCTTGCTCTGAACCCAGTGCAGACTTATTTTTTTGGGCACAGCTGTCACTGTTGTGCTATACATCTACCCAGTACACAGCTCTCCTTACAGTGTGATACCACTAGCCTGCCCACAGGTTTTAAGCTGGGCATATTGGAAGTCAGATGTCTATCTTGTTGGAAACTTCTGAGAGCTTGAGCAAGTGCTTCTGTGCTTTTCTGAGATGAGAAATATACTTTACTTTCCAACTTGCAGCCTGTTCTTGAGCTTGGGGTGCTAAAGAAATGTAATTAAAATTAGGTCTTACTGTCACTGGTATCCTGGTTTCTTTTTATTTTTTATTTTTTTATTTTTTTTTTTAAATTAGTTTACTTTTTTTCTAATCAACTGACATATTATAATTATACCTTAAGTCTGGGGCAAATAGTCTGTGACCCTTGCAACACCTGGCAGCTGAAAGCTGTGCCATAATCTAGAGCAAATGAGTTAAGACTTACAATTTTTTCTGAAATAGCTCTGTCTGGGTTTTACCTACTTACATTTTAAGACAAAAGCGTTAGTGGACAAAATGAAAACTGTATTTTAACTGGACAGTATTTATATATTCATTTATTAATTTTGTAATGCCCTATTAGAGGAAAAGCAGGGATGACAGTAAAGTAGAATTTATGGTGTGGGCAAATAGATCTGGATTTTTGCTCTAATCCTGAGGTTTAATTAACATCAATGCTTCATTTAAAAAATATTATAAAAGAACATTTTAAATAGAAAATAAGTCCTGAAGATTTCACAAAAACATTGATCTGTCTGCAACTACTCAATAAATAAATGGTTGATCAGAGCTGAATTTTCAGATTAAGAAAACATGCCAACAGATAAACACTTTGCATTCCATTCCTTTCTGTTGGATCTTTAAAAATGGGAACAAGATAGTCTTGAAAGTGCTTTGGCACTTTAGATCTGGCTCTCCTTTATCTCCGTGTGTGCTGGTATTTTGTCCCCAGCAACTCCTGAAGGTTCTCAGTGTCCTCTGTAACTGCCCGCTCTGGATTCACTTGAAAGCTTCCCAGAGTAGTCTGTTACCTTCTAGCTAAAATAGGTATAACTCTGTATTTGGATATGGATATTTCATACACATTAGACTCTTAGAGTTTAACATGAAAAGTTACAGGGAAACAAGTAATTTACATAGCATCTTTCATAGCCACTGGGAAGAATGGGGGAAGTAGTAATTATCTCCTGGTATGATTCTGAATGATATATTGAACTGGATCCATACTTGCAAGTCTTGCATAGATTATCATCTGCCTGTGAAACTGGAACAATCTGAATTTTAGAGGGTGACATCAATGCTGTGCTGGCTCCTGAAATGGGAGCCAGAACAGTAGAACTGTATGAATGAATCCAGCACAGTTGGTTACTACTGTTAAAATTAGTTGAAGATGTGGTTACGAATTCCCTTCCTTTCATTTTAAAATAAAGGAACCCTGGTTTATAAGCCATGATCGTGATATTCATCACGTTTTTTCTGTAACTCTTCTGTAGCTCTGAGCCTCAGGCAGGCTGTTGCAATGCCTATAGTTAAAATTCAAATTTGCCCAGGAATTTTTGTTTTATAGGCTTTCCTGATCAACACATCATTTTGGTAGTGTTTTCTTAAAACACGTTTGGCAGAAAATATCCCACTAGAGTAAGTGAAACTGGTATGATTATCTCTTCCCTCAAAATTTGTATCTAATTCTATGTCAGTTGTAGTTAACTTCTGTATGCTTATTTTATTTTATTTTTATAAAATATTTTATTTTATTTTTTGTACATCTAAATTTTGAACTGGAAGAAGTAAGAATCAGAAACTGAGAGAAGTCAATGTGTTTCACCCTGGAAAATGGACGTAGGAATGTTGCACATAGGAATTTCACCTTGCAGTCAGACATGGTTTATGCTTACTATACTGAAGGAACAAGAGTCAACAACTGCAGGTGTGGTTTCCTTGGTATTACCCTTGGTGTGGTGGTGATTTTTTCAGTGAGGAAATTAATGAAGTGGGTATCTTAAAAGCATTAGCAAAGATCTGTAGCTTATATCTGTACCTCATAAATACTGAGTGCAGAGAAGAAAGGAAAAATCTGATGTGCTCATTGCAAACTGGCTGAAGGTATCTGAAGGCTCTTCTCTAGTTGGAGTTCAATAATGGAGTGAAATTTCGTAGATGGCTTTTGGATGGTAAGTGTTGAGTCAAGGCCTGAATCACTGTGAGCACCTGGGGAAAGGACCCGGTCAGCCCTGGGAGCACAGGTGAAGGCAATGCAGCTGTGGGACTGGAAGGGGTGGAGCCTGGCTGCATCTCTCTTAGACTTCATTTAAGGGCTGACTGCCACTGAGGAAGGATCTCTGGTTGCAGATCTCCCTTGTGGAGTTTCTCTTGTGAGCCTAGCTCTTTGGACATGGGTGAGCACTTTTCCTTTGTAACACCTTTCCATTGTGCTAGTCCCTCTGTCATTACACCTCTTAAGTCACCATTTCACTGTGTTGATTTTTCTGACTGCTATAACTGTAGTGTATTGATTGCACCCAGATGCACCTGAGAGGGCTATGTTAAATATGGGTGAGAATACTGCTTGCTTGAAGATGCTGCATTCCACTGGGCACCTGGAGTTAACACAGTGTGATTATGTAGTGAGGAATCAGAAATTCTGAACTGTTGTTAAAGTAGTTGGATTTGCAGTTGGAGTATTCTAGTTACTTATTTCTAAAAGTGCTTGTCTTTTATTTTTGGATTGTTATGTGCAACAGGCTGATGGAGGTTATCTTGGATAAGTAGTGGTGTCTTGGTAATGGAGCTGTAGTTTTATGTGGGTTAAAGTTAACCAGAATACTTTCCTATAAAGCTCACTATAGGGAAACAAAACATGTCCAAGGTCCTTCACACATATTCCTTTTCTGTCTGATTAGTGTAATGAGTTAGTTTGGGAAAAATTACTATTAGGAGGAAAAATACAGTGAAGTCGTGCAATGGTTATTGGCTTCTTAGTTTTCCAGTTCTGAGTAATGTCTCTATACAGCACACCAAAGTGAATTATGATAATTATCCCCTTAAAACACAAATAATGACAAGTAGGTAATACTCTTGACCTTTGCAGAAATGTAAGTTAAGTGTATTTGTTTAATTTCCATAAGTTTTGTTGTTCTACCTGTACACGAATGAATACGACAATAGCAATAACTGAGGAAAATTGTGTTACAATTCTGGACAGTTCTGTAGAAGTAATGTATGCACAGAATGACTTAAGAAGTTTTTTCTTTTCCTTTCCCCGTACAGATCACTCCTGGCAGCAAGGCAGCACAGTCACAGATGAATCAAGGGGACCTTGTGGTAGCCATTGATGGAGTCAATACTGACAGCATGACTCACTTAGAGGCTCAGAACAAGATCAAGTCAGCGAGTTACAACCTGAGCCTCACTCTTCAGAAGTATGTTGACATCAGTTAAAATTTTTGTGTTCCCAAGGATGTCCTATGAAACCCATGACTGAGGGCTATGGGTTTCTTCTTTACCTGTTAGTTTTATTTGAAGTGTCCAATGTATAGATATGAGGTGAACAGCTAAAATCTGTGGTGATTTTGTAGCAAGTAGCATGGATTTTTATAGATATCACAATGGCTTGTATGACATATGAATCTGTGTTGTATTTAGCCCACTGAATACAGGCGTAATTCCTTGTTCATTCAGGCTCCTGATAAAAGTCCAACAGTGATGTTTCTTTAGTCCTATGCGAACACACACACTTTTGGTTAATATATGAATGACTGTTTCAGAAACAACTATCGTAAGTATTCTGATCCCATGGATTGAATCTGTCATTCCCAGAGTGAGAATTTTTATTAATGGTTTGGCACCTCTAAGTTCACACTGAGTTACCTGAGTGACCCCTCTGCATTTGATAGGGTAAAAAGGTGTAGCTTCAGTGCAGGAAAGAAAAACATTTGAACGCGAGAAGGGGAGACTTTCTCACAGAAATGTGATAGAAGTCAGTTAAAAGTGGTCATTTGAAGTTACTGAAACCTTAAAGTATTTTAAAAAAAGATAGGGCATTATCCTGGATGCTTGCAGTTGAATCCTCATTCTGTGACCTTCTCCAGCATTTTTGGTCTAATTTAATGAAAAGTAGTGATAAAGAGATTCATATGGCATCTTTTGAAAAATGCTCTAAATCGTTTTGAGTTACTTACAGGTTGAAGAAGATAATTTCTGATAATTTATTGCAGACCTTCTGTTTGCTTTCCTATTGGGTTCTTGTGTTTCACATTTAGATAAGATCTCTCAGCAAAAACAATTTCACAAAATATTGCATTGGTGAGAGAAACACCAGTTAACACAAAATATTGGGTCAGTCACTCATGATGGAGTGGACAAAAAAAATCTACTTTCTGTGCAGATTGTTGAGATGGGAACACTCAATTATCTGATACGTATTAAAGTCTGAAAACATGGAATACTTTAAAATTTAAAGGATATATGTGTGTTAGTAATTGGCTGTAGTGATAGGAAAACTGAAGCCGTAAATTTCAGTGATCTTAGACATCAATGTCTAGTAGTCACATGGCTCTAAAAAAATCTTTACAAGATCCTAGAATTCCTTACTGGAGGACCTGTGGCTTGATTTTTGTTGTTACAGCTCTGGAATCAAAGTGAACTTGTTTGTTTAGTCTGTAATGCCAAGGGAAAAACAATGGAACATGAAATCTAGACATAAGTATTCTAAGACCAAAAGCTTTATATTTATCTAACTGCTATGGGCTCTCAAGAGCAATGGCCTTTCCTCTTATTGATCCTGACCATGAAGGTTTCATGAGTGTTTTTTATAACCTGACAGTTCAGATAGTGTTTGCTGCTACTCACTTTTATGTTCATACTTAAATTCCCCTTGGAGTTTCTTTTTCAGGGTGAAGAACTGGTGGTTTTTGTTTGGTTATCGAGCAAAATGTACATAGTGACAGCACTTGTGCAGGATATCAAATTGCAAGACATCAAATGTAGTAGAAGGGAAGCATTAAGAATGCTCATTAGTCCTGTCCTACTCTAAACAAAGAGTCTTCACTTCTCTGGCTATACAAACTTAGTTTTTCTTCAAGCACCATCAATTTGCCCTTCTCAATGTACACTAACATAGCTCTTCAGTGAGTGTTTTGTGTGGAGTGCTGGCCTGCGTTTGTCATGCAAGTATCTCATTATGGGTTAAGGAAGCCATAGTTGTCAAGTGTTTTCTGATCTTTTCTGATCACACCCTTTCCTAAACTCGCTGTTAAATTTGCCTCTTATCACCTTATCTAGGCTATGATTTCACTGAACCTTCACAAAACTTTGTCAATGTCACGGAATTCCTTGGATAGAGAACTTGACAGCTGTGCCAGAGGTTTGATCAGGCAGTCAGAATTCAGCTTTCCAGTGGCATACTGCTTTTTCCAAATGCTCATTGTCAATTTCTGGCTGCTTAGATCTCCAGAACCTGCTATGTACTTCCCATGCTGCTGGACAATGCTGTGGAAGGCTGTGATCATACTCTTTAATGAACTACTGTGGAAAAAGAAACTGCTTCTAATCTTTTTGTGCCTTACTGGAGATTAGTTCTCAGTCATTTTACAGTATCTGTTTCTGATCGGTCACTTGAGCTGCACAGCTGCCCTCAGGCATTTTAGTCCCAGGCCAGTTAAAGTTCATCTTCAACTGGCTGGCTGTCCCACAGGAACTGGGCCATCTGCTTATTGTTCTGCTGCATTCAGTTCACAGGTAAAAAAAATGAAATGCATGCAAAATTTATTTTTAATTGATACAAATAGGTTTCTTTTTAAAATTCAAATACAGTTCATGAGTACAGTATTATTTGTTAACACATTTCACTGGAGCATCCACAGTATTCATTTGATCTTAACTCGAGGAATCTGATCAGCCTCCTTGGAAAGGATTCACCAAATGTACTGACTAAGTTTTGGAAAATGCTGTAATATGAGCATGCCTCATTCTGCTGGCATAGGCATTCCTGTGATGCTCCAAGATGCCTGCTTTGGTGTCACTATGAGTTCCTGCAGAGGAGCAGGGAAGGTGCAGGCCTGATATGCATTGACACAATGTCCCCCCCTTTCAGGGCAAGCCAGTGTTGGAATACAGTTTGCATTCAGGCAGACACAATTGACTGCTTTTTGCTGGCAAATCAAAAGCTAAATAATACTTTTTAGTAGTGAAATGGGAAGAATCAGTTGTAAAGCTAGGAGAGATTTATGGTAAATATTTAATAGCTTTCCTTTTCTTGTGCAGCACCAAAAGATGGCTGATCCTGCAGTATTTATTTCAGATCTACCATAAATAAAGTATGTGGTAACAGCAAACTGCAAGCCAAGGAAATTGAAAAGTCATTGTAAACTGCTTTCTTTTGTCTGAAGCTGTGAATAGTAAATAATTCTGTACATGTTGTAGGGCTGATGGGCATATTTTTAAATCAGAACCAGATTTAGGCTGGGTTTATGCTTGAACAAGAATTAGAAGAGGGTAAATATTACAGTTTAAGAGTAAACTTTCTATAGGCAATTCTCCCAAAAGCACAGACTAAAATATTGAGTAGTTGGGGTATTACTGGAAACATTGCCAAAAAGCATTGTAGGAAGAGATTAGTAAAAACAGACAGAAAATGAAAGCATGGCTTTGAAACTTTTTCTCCTTTTAATTAGATGATTTTATTACATTCATTAGACTAATAATGCTTTCATTCAGGGACTGCTTATGTATAGAGGGAGAATCTGTTCTCATGCGAATATGACTTCTTTCCTTTTTTTGAAAGGAAAGCTAATGCTAGTGTTGACTTGCTAGTGCTTGTGTTCTGCCTTGTGAATGCCTATCCTGAAATCCATTCTTGGGGTAGCTAACTTCTTCCTGGCCATTACTGCTTTTCTACTGTAGTCTTTATGGAAACTGAATTCCTGGTGTCAAATGACTGTTCCTTGGATGAGACTGCAGCAATACTTTCACAGCTCAGCAGTACCGCTTAGGACTCAATAGCTAGGATAGCAGCACTTAAAAGTTTGGGAAGCAAAAACCCTATCAAGACTTGAGTCAGATTTCTGAATTACTACATACAAAAGCAAGTCCATTGCTACTGTGTCAGTCTAGACTAAGGATACAAATGCCTGCCTCCTACCCACAACCTTCAGAGTTCAAGAAGGTGTGTGACTTGCATTTTGACTTGCATTTGATACAATTTCACTAGAAGTGTTAGTTTTAGCATATTTTCAAGTATAAATATGTTCACGTTGCCTTAGAAATATGGCCTGAAATTTTATGGCAAGAAAGAAGTGTATCAGAGTAAAAAACAAAACAAAAAAAAAACAACAAAAAAACACACACACACAAAAAACCAAAGCACTGTCCTCTAGTCTCTTCCCTTCTTGAATTTTGCAGAAATTGTTTAAAAAAGCTAATGTGATTCTCAGAGAATTTACATATTGAGTCAGTAGTTTCTGAATTTCATATCAGAAAAAAAAATACAAAGTTGATGCCATGTTGGTTATAAAATGCCATACTCACTGCAGTAATTCTGGTCTAGATTGCACTGAGGTCTCAGATCTTACACCATGTGGACAGTACATTTTGGAGACCTCAAGTTAAAATAGGCTAGAATACTCCAGTGGGAAGGGACCTTCAAAGGTCATTGAGTCTAGATGCCTGACCAGTTCAAGAGCTAACCAAAATTTAGCTGTGTTTTAAGGACATTATCGAAATGGCTCTTGAATGCTAACAAGCACAGGGTTTCAGCCACCTTATTAGGAAACCTGTTCCAGTGTCTGACCACCCCCACAGTGGATATGTTCTTGCCAATGTCCAGTCTGACTCCACTGGCATAGGAGAGATCTGTTTCTGTGTGTCCATCATTGGTTAATGGAAAGAAGTGATAGGCACCTTCGTGTCTTAAACTGAGACAGGGGAGGTTTAGGTTAGATATTAGGACAAAGTTTTTCACCCAGAGGGTGGTCAGGCACTGGAACGAGTTTCCCAAGGAGGCTGTGGATGCCCCAACCCTGGAGGCATTCAAGGCCAGGCTGGATGTGGCTCTGGGCAGCCTGGTCTGCTGGTTGGCAACCCTGCACATAGCAGGGGGTTGAAACCAGATGGTTATTGTCATCCTTTTCAACCTAGGCCATTCTATGATTTCTTATCTTCAGGGAGCTGTGGAGGACAATGAAGTTGTCTTAACCTCTTTTTATCTTGAGAAGACAATCCAGGTGTCCTCAGCCTTTCCTCAAAGGATGGTTCCTCAGTTGAGTCAGTTGGTTACTGCGTGTACCCGCATTCAGGAAAGGAATTCTAAATTCTACTTTTGGCAAGATAAGAATAGTGTAGTAGTCAGATTCTTACATTCCTTACTTAGTCACAGTATGCATAAATTCAAAATTTTAATCACAATGATAGGGAAAAGAGGAAA